TGAGAAAATGTTTCTAGAAGATTGGCCTATAGGCAAGCCTGTGAGACATTTTCTTGATAAAACTTTTGTGGGTGGGCCCAGACTACTATGGGCAGTTGGTCCTGAGTGGTACAAGAAAGCAGGTTGAGCTGGGTGTGGTGGCACACACCTCTAATCCCAGGACTCTGGGATGCAGAGGCAGGAAGATCTCTGTGAGTTTGAGGCCAGCCTGGTCTACAAAGCTGAGTTCAGGACAGCTATAGCTACAAAGAGAAACTCTCAAAAAAATAAAAAATAAAAAAATAAAAAGCAAGCAGCTTGAGCAAGGGAATGGTGGTGCACACCTTTAATCCCACCACTCAGAGGCAATGACAGGTGGATCTTTAAGTTCCAGGCCAGCCTGGTCTACAGAGTGAGTTCCAGAAAAGCCAAGGCCACACAGAGAAACTCTGTTTTAAACCCTGACCCCTCCCCCCAACTTCCCCCCAAAAGGAAGGCAGATCCAGCAAGCCATGAAGAAAAGCAAGCAGTGTTTCTCTGGGGTATCTGCTTTAGTTCCTGATTCCCCAGGTTCCTATGTTTAGTTCCTGCCTTCACATTCCTTCAGGACGGACTGGAAGCTGTAAGATGAATGAACCCTTCCCTTCCCAAGCTGCTTTGATCAATGTCTTATCACAGCAATAGAAGGCAAACTAAGACCCTCTCCTTCTATGCTCAGGGACCTGCAGTCCTGCTTTTCTTTTCTGGTCTTGGATGTCATCTCAGATTTTGCTTCCTTAAAACCGATGTGGCTCCCTGGCCTTGGGGTCACCCCAACCCTCTCAGATGCTTCCGTAAAGAGCAGGCCTGAGATGGAGCCCCTTGCACAGCAGTAAAACCATTCCCCATTTTGGTAAGTCATTCACATGACTGCTCCCTCACCACCTCCCTGGACAGACCCAGAATCTGCAGTAGCACCAGCACCCAGCCTAGTGTTTGTCCACTGAGCGCATGCTGGAGCCAACCTAGGAGTGTTAAAGCTAAGAGAACACTAGGTGCATATTTTTGGGAAGTCCCTGTCACATGAAGTCAAAACTAGGACATACTTAGGTCAATTTCTCTCCCTGACCTCTCTATGAAGATGGGCAGCAAAGACTCAAACCCAGAGGTCTCAAACTGGAGGAAGTAGCAGGGCCATGAAGTCCTGAAAAACCACAAAGCCTCTACCTTATTGCTCAGGCATCCAGATCTGAGGAAATGTAAAGGATTCAGAGAAACTCCCACTGGAGTTTTACTGGCACACGTGTGTCTTAACTTCTGGGGAGGACAGATATCATGAGGCACCCATTATGCTTTCATCTGTTTTTGTTAGTGCAAAGGGTAGAAGTCAAGGCTTTATATTTGCTGGGCAATCTACACTGGACTACATGCCACTGTGCATACTAAGAGCTACTGCTTTATAATTTGCTGGAACCCAGAAGAGAAAGAAAGAAAAGAAAGAAAAGAAAGAAAAGAAAGAAAAGAAAGAAAAGAAAGAAAGAAAGAAAGAAAGAAAGAAAGAAAGAAAGAAAGAAAGAAAGAAAGAAAGGCAGCATGCTCAGAAAGCCCACCATGGCCCACCACAGCCAAAGGGGCACACCTGGATCCTCTGAGAACCCAATGTACCTGCCATTTCAAGACAAGTAGATCAGAAGGACGTGTGTCAGAGTGCTTGGTCCTTCCAAGAATCTGGATCCCTCTCTGGGCCACTCCCTAAGGAGTCTCACTTACTGTGTCTTGGGGGTGAGGACTGGGAATCTGGATTTTTAAGTCAGTCTGACCCTGTTCCCTGAGATGCTGATAATACAAGTGTGGGAAACACAAAAGAATGAAGAGACAAAGAGCAGAAACAGAGAATTATCAGAGGAGAGACAGCTTCCCAAGAGCCAGAGGTAGCTCCCAGAGGTAGAAACAAGCTGGAGAATGGGGAAGTCTACCTGAGGGTGGAAGTAACAGGAGAGGCCATCTCTTTAGACTCAAAGCCCTCACATCCATTAGGAAGAAGCATTCAAGGCCCCACAGACTTTACCCATGAGCACTTCCCGGAAAGTGATACTTTGCTATAATCCTGGCAGACATCCTTCCAGCTCACTATGGGATATATCACGGCCTCCCTCTCCTCCCTCCTTCTGTTTTCCTTACCTCTTTACCCATCAAAGCCCCAGCTTCATAGACAACTTCTCAACTTATGACATGGGTGTAAGACCTTGTTTCATGTATTCACCGTCATGCAATGCCTTCAACAGCAGTCCTCCAGTCCTAGCCGAGCCCTCCCCAGTATGCCAATGTAACTGTTTGGAAAGGGCCTTCACTGTTCTGTAGAGCATACTGTTCACAGGCAATGGAGCAACCACAAATACTTTAGAAATACATACCTCCAAACTAGCAGCTCCAGAGACCCCTAGAGACTCATCCTAGAGCTGCTTAAAACATCTTTACTACAGGGTGGAGAAGCAAAACCAAGGGGCCATATGGTAGACAGAGCTAGGTCAACTGCTCCCAAGTCAAAGTGGATTCCTATCCTCTAACCCACCAGTTCTCAACCTCTTTGGGGGTCACATATCAGATATCCTACATTTCTATATTTACATTATAATTCAAAACAGCAAAGTTATGACGTAGCAATGAACTGGTTGCTGATTTTATGGTTGGGGCCAGCACAAGATGAGGACTGTATTAAAGAGCTGCAGCATCAAGAAGGCTGAGAACTACTGCACTAGCCTGAGCTATGACCCAGAGCGAGTCACTCGGCCCCCTCACCCGTAACACAGTTTTCCTTACAGGTGCTGTGAGGGTCTGACAGCAGTAACGACACGGCACTGCTGAGCATGACTGCATGCCTGGACGCTCAGATAAGGAAAGCGCAGAAGAGTCACTGTACTGCAAGCCTGAGGCCAACTCTAAGACTGTAAGCTGGATCTTAAGATGGACGATAAGCTGAGACCTTGTCTCAAAAATAACTAGCCAAATAAGCAAACAAACATAAATAACTAGCCAAATCTGGGGATGTGCACCTTTAATCCCAGCACCCAAGAAGTAGAAGCAGAGGCAGGTGGACCTCAAGTTTGAGGCCAGCCTGATCTATACGGAAAGTTTCAGGCCAGGTGGGGCTGCAAAATGAAACCTTGTCTCAAAAAACAGAGAAACAAAAAACCCCAAAATGTGTGTACTCATACTGCACAGACCATCTCATAACATGAGAATTAGGAAAGGAGACCCCCACCTTTAACCTCCTCTATCTATTGGTTTTTCTTGGAAGTTCTAAAAACAAATGCAAAAACTGGAAGTCTCTAATAAACCACAGCAATAAAGCATGACCTGATAGACAGATAAGGCTGGCTGGTGCTGAGGGACGACAGCACAGGATGTGATGAAGCTGTACTGACTTGTCTCAGGGAACACCACCCTGCCTCTCCAGTGCAGTAGAGCCATTCATCATACAGACCTCCATCCTTGGGTGCCAGAGCAGGGGAGCCTTTCTCTCTGCTGTGGAAGGCTGGCAAGGGTGGAAGGCGACTGAGCTGAGCCTGCTGCTGCTGAGCTGGGCTCTGACCGTTCTTTGTCTGCCTTACTGAGCATCAAGGCCAACAAGACTCCTAATCTATGTAACTATCTTCTGTTGTGCTGTGATGTTTCTGCAGCTTTTTTTTTTTTTTTTTTTCTTCTTCAAGACAAGGTTTCTCTGGGTAGCCTTAGCTATCATGGAATTCACTCTGTAGACCTGGCCTGGAGCTCAGAACTCAGAAATCCACTTGCCTCTGCCTCCAGAGTGCTGGGATTAAATGTGTGCAACCCCACATTTGGCCTTTTTATATCCAATTCCCTAAGAAGTAAGGGTGTTTCTATGAGTGGGCCTGGGGAGATAACAGAGGTCAAGTAGCTCTGTGGCTCCCCACATCCCCACCTTAGAATCCCATGCTGGAGTCCTCACCTGTGAAACAAACCTTACAGGGTAGTTCTGAGGAGGGTGAGTGTGACTGACAATAAAAACAGCAGACAGTTACTAAGTATTTACTGCTTACCAGGCCCTGTGGGAAGAACCCCACTGCATGAACTCACAGGCTCCTAATAAGCACCCTAAACACAGGTGGATTATCATCTTTGCTTTAAAGGAAATTGAGGCATAATTACGGCAAATAACAATTGTGACTTCAGTCTAGGCAATGTGACTTAAGAGCCACCAAAGGACTCGACACAGGTTAAGGGGCACTTGCCTTACAAGGGCTCCATGAAAACTGCTGCTATGAAGGTAAAGGTAGAAAGAACAAGGCTGACTGTGGAAGGGGTCCCCTGGTGCCCTTCCCAGCTAGCTTCTGGTTATCAACAACTTCCCCACTTCTTTGACCACCATCTCCTCCCTGTGTCACTGAAATCAGTAGCTCCGCATGCAGCTTCAGCTGTGTCAAGGCTCAGGAGGCTCTTACATTTTTAGCAGCTGCTCTTGAGACAGTTCTCTGGACAGACAATTCCTGGACTCTGGGGACAGGTTCTAAGGATGCCTGGATCACCCACCCCAGTGCCAGCTTCCGGGGACAGAGTGCCTCTTTCCTGGGTACTTAGAGAACTGACATAAAGGACTATATCCACATTCAGAACTCTCTTGAAGCTGGTCATGACCGAGACCCATCTGCTTTTGGAGGTGAAGCGGCACAGAAACCCTGTGGGTTACGAAGGAGTCCTGACATCCTCTCCTAGCTCTGCTGTCTTAGAGCTAGGAGAGCAGATCTCTGCTCGCCTTCATCGAGCTACTTCATGACGTTCCTGTTCCTTTCAGCAGCTCAAACAAGCTACCCAAGACCATCCTCTATATGGGCAGTTTCCTCCTTCTGGGAGTCCCCATCCCACACCTGAGGACAACTGACAACAACGCAGCCCTAGGATACTAGACAAGCACAGAACATACACTTCTCAGCACCACTGTTGGTTGGCCTCTGTGGCACCTGGTGCCTGGCACCTGCTCTTGCTCTCCCTGCTGTACTACCATCTCTAGGGGCAGAACTCACCAGCACTGTTGGCCTCTGATTCCAGCAGGTGGATATCATTGCAGTCCGCCAGCGAGTGCTCCAGGCAGAGCTGCAGAAAGCGGGCTTGGGTACGGGTGACCCGCTTCAGAAGTGACAGCAGGGCCACTGTCTGCTCACACTCATTCCAGCCCTTGAACCAGCTAGCGAGGATGCCCACTTGGTCTCGGAACATCATGGTGCCAGGCCTGGGGCCAGGGTTGGGGGACGGCGGTGGCAAGGGCCAGCGCCGTCACATGGTCTCGGCTCTGGGCTCTTGTTACCTCTCCCCTAAGGGCCAGGGCTTGAAGATGTCCCCTGGCGTGGTGGCAACGGGTGGTGGGGGAGGAGGGAGCCTGCTTACATCAGGGGAGGTCTTGGTCCAGCCACACCTCTCCAGGCTCCTGGAAAAGAAAGCAAAGGGATCAGAGGGAGTACAGGGGCTGAAATTGTCATGGAATAAAATTGTCTTGGCGAATATGGGCTGAGGGCCCTGTTCATGTTTCATGGACTTTGTTCTGGGAGAAGGAGGAAGCCTGCAGCAGATACTGAGCCAGCTTCCTCTCCGACTGAGGACCCAGGGAACAGGCATGACTGGCACCCCAAGACCAGACTTTCAGACTTTCAACTGAACCAGCTGCTCTCCCACTGTAGACTCAGAAAACAGGTATGATTTGGACCCAAGACCAGAACCAAGGGAAAAAGTTGCCTCACTCCTGGACAGCACAGGGGCCAAAGGAGGTGGCCTCAAATCAAAAGATTTAAGTCAGAATGACATTCAGAAACAGGAAGGGAGAGACACTGTGCACTTAGGAAGAGATCTGAGTGAAGAAAGGTGTAGCTCAAGGTGCCCTGACAACCAGACATGTGACCTGGAACGCATCTACTGACCTTGCTATCTCATGCTGCCTCCTCTCAGAGCTGGACACGGATGTTCACCACCAGAAAAGAGCCTTAAGGCTCCCTGACTACTCTAGGCTAAACCCACGACTCTGGCTCAAGGGTGGAAGGTGAGGCAGTGACCCAGTAGAGGTCTCAGGTATGCAGAGAGCAGATGTTGACAGCAGAGAACTATGTGGTCACAAACCAGCTGGTAAATGGGAGCACCAGGGTATGAACATGGAGAGGCCTGTTTAAAGAGCACCACCATGAAGGGATCTCATGCCCTTCAACTCAGCTCTTCTGCTTTGGAACAGGCTTGGCTCTGAGCTCTAAGACTCTACCTCCTTACTATGAGGTAAAATCCTCCCAGCCTTCCTCCTCAGTCCTTAAAGTCAGCTTCAGGCCTAAGACTTCAAGACTCTGAGGTGGAAGTTCCCTTGATTTTTCAGAACAGATTGCCATCCAGGAGCCAACTTGAAGGGAAGTGTCTAACTTTGGCTAGACACTCTGAGACCCTTCTCCCATGTCTGCAGCTTAAGTACCAACAGTTCCCATCGACCTCTCTGCAACCAGTGTCCTCAGTTCCATTCCCCCGGGGCCCAACAACCAAGAACTCTATACACAGACCTGCTGTGTTTAGAACCTGCAGGGCCCAGGTTTAGGCATGACTCCCGTTACCCTGACATTACACAGCCCTGTTGGGGATAGCTGTGTGTGGCTGGGTTGCCTTGAAGGATCCCTGTTGGATCTCAAAAGAAACTAGTTATTACAGCTGTTAATCATTTTGGATGGAAGCAGGGGGAAAAGGATGAAAGTGAACTTTGTCCCAAGTTACACAGACCTCCCACCACCCATTTCAGAGAAAGAATCAGAAGTCACCTCCTGGCTTAAAGTCTCCAATGACTTCCAACTGCACGTAAACCTAAATAAATCCAAATTTGCCTTGCCCAAAAGTGCCCTGCATGACCCTGACAGTCTCTCCAACCTCATGACACGTCAAGTTCCTTCTTGCTCCCCGTCCTCTACAGGCTAGCTCCTAAGCTACTTGGGTCTCAGCACAATATCACTTCCTCTGAGACAGTATGCCTGATACTCTCCCATGGTCACAATTAGTGCCTCATTTCCTTAGAACACGACACTATGAAATGCTGTCTTATGTTCCATTTTTCTCACCAAAATGCAGCTATGCAGTCAATCTGGGCCTAAAACAATACTTTACTCACTTAAAAAATTATTTATTTACTTTGTGTTTGAATGCCTGTATTCGCACATACCAAAGAGCACATATAGGTCAGAGGGCAACTGTGAGAGCTGGTTCTCCCTTTCAATTATGTGGGTCCCAGGGAATTGAGGCTTGGTGGAAAGCACCTGTACCCACTGAGTCTTCTTGCTGGTCCAAAATATACTTTAAAACACAAAATCAGCCAGCTGTGGGAGCACACACCTTAATTTAACACTCGGGAAGCAGAAACAGGCAGATCTCTGTGAGTTTAAAGACAGCCTGTTCTCTATATAGAGAGTTGTAGGCCATCAAGGACTACATAGTGAGTCTCTGTCTCAGAGCAAAACAAAACCCAAAATAATAGGGTGGGGTGATGACAGGATCTTTAAGAACTTAAAATCTTCCCTGCCTTAGACTCCTAAAAGCTGAGATTACAGTCCTGTACTACCATACCTGGTTCAGTGGGAATATCCACCAACAGGGCATAACTAATTAAGGCAGATACTAAGCAAGGGGGGGGGGGTAAAAAGCTTATTTACTGAAGAGGAACAGCATGGGATTCACTAGTGGTGACTGTTTATAATACCAGCCACCAGGAGGCTAAGGCAGGAGAATTGCTATGAGTTCTAGGTTGACCCTAGATACAAAGTGAGATCCTGTAAAAGAAAGCTATCTAGAACTATGTACAATACACTACCAGTGTTTCACATGTGGAAGGACGAGCTCTACGCTGTGGAGAAGGGTTACTTTGGGGAGACAGGGGAGTTACTAATATTTTAAAATGCATACCATTTCACTACATACATGTGAACAATACTCTTTTTTGTCATAAAAAAAAAAAAAAAAGGATTTTCAGCTGGGTGTGGTGGAGCAAGCCTTTAATCCCAGCACTCAGGAAAGCAGAGGCAGATAAAAATGCTATAAATTCAAGGAGGCCAGCCTGGTCTATAGAGTAAGACAGCCAGGGCTACACCAAGAACACCTATCTTGAAAAAACAAGAACCACACAATAAAACAAAAAACAAAGCAAAAAAAAAAAAAAAAAAAAAAAAAAAAAAAAGAAAAAAAAAAAAAAAAAAGAGAGAGAGCACTGTGCTGCGCTGTTTGAGGGTGGGTGAATGGAATGTATGTGCCTGGAAGCATCTGCCTTCCCTGCTCCAGCATTTTGCGGATTTGGGTCCCAAGGAGGTAGCAGCTGCTTTCAACGTAAGACTTTCTATATAACGACACCCAAGGATGGCACTGGCCACCAACTGAGGAGGAGTGCCCGGCTGTTGGAAGTGGTCAAGCAGAAGCTGGGTGGACACCCCTTGGGAGTGGGAGTGGTTCCTCCACTGGGTAACAGCTTATGTGATACCAGACCATGTTACTATTTCGGGGGGGGGGAACATTTATGATGGGAGGTTTGATATGCCAAAAGCATTTACAGCAAAAGGACCAAATTCTCAGGCAAAAATGGAGCACATTTCCACCCATCAATTCTTTTACTGAGTTGTTACTTTTCCTAAGCTACAACACTATATTCCCACTGCTGACTAAACATCAATCCAGTGTCTTCCAGGAAAGCTTTGGGACAGAATGAGGTCTCAATTGTGATGCTTACCAGACTAGCCTTTGAACAGAGCTGCCCACCAGGGACTACAATGAGCTAGTTGCAAAGTACCTGTTTAAAGGCAGAATACACTATTCTGCTCTAATCAACTGTTGCCATGTGGGAATAGACTCATACTAGGTCTTCACATTTTTTTTTAAAATAGGAGATGAAATCTGGCTTTGAAAAAACATTCCCTATTTTTAAACGCTGGAAACTAATTCACATTAAAACAGCAACTGTGAACACAGAACAACAACAAACGCCAAAACATTGTGGCCATGGTCCTTGAAACAAACTGGAAATAGACCAAAAGCCAACTAAAAATCCCTCCCTGGGGCCTCTCTGGTTGGTATCCTCAAGCCCCCCAGATAGTCAAGGAAGATAACTGGTGAGTACACAATGGTGAAGCAGGGTTCTAATAGTCTGCAGTAGACACCAGGGCTCCCAAAATCCACCAAAGACCAACTGTGGAAAAACCATCCCTTAGCTAAACCCAAAGATCTGAGTTTGATCTTCCAAAATCCACATGATAGAAACAACTCCAAATTGTCTTTCTGACCCACACACATGCACACGCACACAGAGCACACTGCTTGCAACACACTAAGTAAAATGTAATCCAAAAGCAATCTGTTTTAAAAGATCTCTGTGAGCCAGGCACAGCGGCACAAGCCTGTAATCCCAGCACTCGGGAGGCAGATCTCTGTGAGATGGAGGCCAGCCTGGTCTACAAAGTGAGTCCAGTGAAGGCTACACAGAGAAACCTTGTCTCAAAAACAAAAACAAAACAAAAGAGCTCTATGAATTGAGACCAGCCTGATCTATGAAGCAAGTTCTAGGTCAGCCAATAGTAAGAGTGTCTAAAAAGTTAGACAAAATAAAAATAAACAAATCATCCCTAATAGGGCTGGAGAGAGAGCTCAGTGGTTAAAAGCACTTGCTGCTCTTGTAGAGGACTCACGTTTGGTTTCCATCACCCATATGGCAGTTCACACAGTTTCAGGGAATCCAATGCCCTCTTTTGTTCTCTGCAAGTAATTGTGCATGTGTACCTAACACACAAGCAACACAGTCTTACACATAAATCTTTTAAAAAATTAGAAAAAAAGGGGAAACAATGACAAGGACTGCCATGAAGCTTATAGCCAACTTGGGCTACCCAGCAAGTTTGAAGCCAGTCATGCCTAAAAAGCATGATTCTATCTCAAAAAAACAAGTTAAAAGTAATGATCTTAGGCTTGGGAGAAGCTCAGGAGGTAAAGTACTTGCCGTACATGCTGGAGGATTTTGAGTTTAGATTGCTATAATCCAGGTAAAGTCAGATATGATAACCCTGTCTGCAATCCTAGTGCTCCTACTTCAGGGTGAGAGGTGGTGATGAGAGAGCCCCCAGAAACTCACAGCCCAGCTTTATCAAATGGTGAACAAGAGGCAAGCCTATCTAAACACAGTAGAGGGCAAAAACCGATACCTGAAGTTGTTCTCAGATCTCTTAATTCCTGCCATGGCATAAACACATGTGCACCCAAAGATCGATCGATCAATCGATCTCTCTCTCTCTCTCTCTCTCTCTCTCTCTCACACACACACACACACACACACACACAGAAAGAGAGAACAAATAAAAAAAGTGATCTCTATCTTAAGGACAGAAGGATGCTGAGTTGGGTGTAGATGGTAACTATGAGAAGAAATGGACTGCCGCT